GCGTATTTTATGATAGCGCGACGGTCTATGCTAAAAGCTATCTGTAGTTTTCGAGCATATCTCGGGAATAAATTCGTTCGTCTCGTTTAAGTGCGCATTTAAATTGCATTAAATTGCACGCGGTGTGCATCACGGTTAATGTGACTAGGTATGAAATTAAATATATCGCGAATAATATCGATATGTACTTGTATAGGTATTTCAGAAAATAATGATATTATTCAGTGTAGCAAAATTGTCTGAACAACTTAATTAAAAATACACATTTTGCGGTTGAAAAGAAAGCTATCAAAATAAGATATAAAAATGTTTTACAACGAATGTTTTAACTCGACATATACATGATTCAAGTAGAATGATACTTCGAAATTATTACTGAATTGTTTTAGATTCGTAAGCGAGTTTCTATCGAAGCATGACGGGTTCAGACCCGTCAATTTAGACTTTAGACGATAATTGACGATGAAAATGGTTCTGTAAAATAAAATCGATAATAGTAAGCATTTCCGGAGCTCTATGCATGTCTGTTGCTTACTTTGTGTCGACGATGCACATTCCGAATGCAAACGTGCGCGAATGAGTATGTCATTCAAACATTGTTCAAAGCTTTTGACGATTTACACATTTGATATTCACACGATATATGAATAAAATTCAGGCGAGCAGAAGCGCATAAAGCGAAGTAATGTTCACAAGCTTTACAATGGCAATCTTTACGTGGCAGCATCGCACTCGGTTTTGCCATGCAGTTTTGTAAATTAATATCCTATTGACATTGAACGTGCAGTTTGCTTCGATTGCATATTGTTTCGCGAGCCGTTTGATGAATCATGTTCCTTTGCAGACAATAGAGATTTAATTAAATTTATTAATGAAAAACACCGATGTGGACACTTTTCTCTTCGTGATTGCGTTATTACGATTCCTCGATAATTGTAATATTTACTTTGGACGTTTCTTGCGCATCCTCGTTTCCAGGGAAAAACATAAATTCCGACAACGAGTCTTTAATAAGATCCGTCAACCGTGATTTAATCAAACGACGCATTGCCTGGCAACTGCTAATTAACTCGCCCGTTCGCGATTTCCGATGATCATTAATCCGTCGTTTCTCCCGCTTGAACATTGACAAGCAAGTCCAGCAGTTTATGCCGAGAATACGAGAGCGATATTCGACGATAATCGCAAATGATGCCGTATGAAAACTATTTTATTCCCAAAGTATAAATCCGTGTTATTGGCAAATAACCTCAGAATATAAAATCAAGTCTACCGACAGTATAATTGTGGCGTAATAGTGCGGATAATTGCAATCTGCAATATTATACGTAATTATCATGATCCTTTTTATCTTTATGTATACATATATGCATATATACGTGCCATTACATATGCATAATGCGATTATTATATTTATATCGCGATAAATACCTTTCCGTCACGAGCACAATGATTTTAATGCGTCCAATCGGAATTTTACAGCACGATATAAATTATATACAAAGCTGTTTATATTAACCACATCGCTCGTTCGGTGTAAATTAATTAACTGGCAAATGCAGAAAATTATTAATAAGGTAGGAGCCGATATCTATAATAATATTTACTATATCTCGATATGCGCAATCGTTTACCATATCAAATACATGATCTACATATATATCGTTATACGGATCATTTTACTCGTTAATAAGTTTCTTGAAAGTTTAAGTTAAATTGTAAATTTATCAAATCTGTAGATAATAATTACTTCGGAACCCTATTTGCATTTTCTCGTCATCAAGAACTTTGCATTATTAGTATGTTAAAACTTAAAATTAAAATTTTTATTCTTGTTAAGGATGAGAGAGAAACTCTTTTTGAGCGTTCAATTCCTGCCATCTTTTTCTTCTGCCCCTGATATTGGTTCTTGTTTCCAAAGAAGCTTACTTTTTGCCTCGCGAATTTAACTCGCTCATTTTTCTCGTCACTGACACTGGTTTATATATTTCAAGTTAAAATGTTTTCATATCTTTTATTCAAAATTGCTCACGGCGAAAGATACTAATCAAAGGTTAATTATAAGTTTTTTTCTTCTCATGGAAGTTCTTTACTAGGACAGTAATATTTCATAAATTGATAAAATCTCAAAGAATAGATAAGAATTACAACTCGTTAAGTGTGCCACTTGTTGCAGCATTATTCTTTTACAAACTTTATGAAAATTTAATTAAATTTCAAAAATAAACATACACGTTTATTCCACTTTTCTTTGATGATTTTACAGTATTTTTCAATATGATTCGAATTGTTCAGAATATAAAATATTTCCATCTTCTCCGTTAGATTTACTTATCTCCGCTCGTAGGTTCTATTTTTAACTCTTTATTGTTCATATTATTTTCTTTTATATACAGAAAGGTTTTAAGAAAAACATTTCAATTTATAGAGGAAAATACATGAAATAAAACAGTGATAGTGCACATACATTTTCTATGTCTCGTGTTTCTCTTAAGAATTTTCTTTCTGAAATATGCAATATTTTACGTGTCGTTTTGTAATCTTCTTTTGACAGTGCGAAATTATTCAATTTAAGGATCAACTTTGATGCATTTCTCTCACGGATACTACTTCTTACAATTAATTCCGAATAAAATCAATGCCTGTTTCGACAGGATAACTCGAATCGGATTCGGGTTTTTGTCTATCTGTGATTAATTTTCATTTACAGAAGGACGCCCAACTTGTAATGAAACCATTATCGGTCGTATTAGAAACTTAGTGAGCTCTGTTTCCGCGCGTCTTAATCTTAATTGCCGAGTGAATATGGAGCTTGCGAAAGTGCATCGCTCTATGTCGAGATTGATCAATGTCCGTTTCATAAAATGCATGAGTGCAGAATTACTTACTACACGAATCTCTATTGAACGCTTAACGATTATTCAACAACAAAACGTTAATACTTTTAATGTAAACTGTAACATATTATACTATATGTTGTCAATATCGTAAAATCATTTATCAGATACACGAGTGTAACAAATTTTATATAAGAAAATTTTTCACGTGATATATTACTTGGTATATCGATTAATTCGCATCATTCGAAATGTATCCTGAGTATTGCATCTCTCGTGAATACTTGTACATTTTTATCATGCAAAATCTATGCATAAAATATATGTAGGAGATTGATCGTACCGTGGCTGGAATCAAATATTAATGGACAGATGAAATTTCTGTTAGATTATGTAGAATGTAACCTGTTCCTTTGGTTTTTTCTTACATATTATGTGACTAAAATAGCAATATAATCTTATTATTTATTTTGCATTTGCGTTTAATGCGCGTATATCTAACGCGAACTGTATTATCGTAACATAAACAAAATATAATGCATAAATTGCAGGATATCGTTGTAACCAAAATAAAGTCATTAATGCTTAATTAACTATCGCAACAAAATATAATTTGCGTCAATAATGTTAATGTTACACAATGTGTTATAATATCTATTAATGTGATGACTTGCTGATGAACAATTTCTATTTTTTTAAACATAGTTTAAAAAACAATGTAGTTATACATACATATATATATATATATATATATATATATATATATATAACATTATAAAATCATCAAAAAATAAAAGATTTTATTATTTTTTTATACTTTATAAAACATCCATATTTAAATTACAATTTGCCATAGCAGTTGCGAGTTAAAAGGACCATGACGCACGTCCATCGCAAATGGAGAAATTTTCGACGTGCTCAGTCACGTACTCGGTTCCGTTCATCCAAACTGTCTCTGCCTCGTGTAATAATATTCTTCCATCCCTAATTCAAAAAGGTGCGTTCCATTCCGTAGTTCTGCTTTTACGCTCACGCTAAGAAAGCCCGGAAACTAAGAGAGAAGACGCAGAGACGCTTTATCTATCCTCATTACTTTCCGCGCAGTGAAAGGTCTGTCGTCGGCTTTCAGGTCGCGTGTCCTATTTCGTTCAATATAAGAAAGCTACCCGAAAACATACAGCCAATTGAATTGCCACTTTACAATTTCATGAGAACTAGCTCAGTCAATTTCGCGCCAAAGACATGTTAATCAATTATTTGTATCATGTCGGGTTTTTTTACTGCACATTGAATCATTGATTTATCAATTATTTTAATCAAATCAGGTATATAAGCGTTATATGAATATAACGGATTTTATTCAATTATGAATGCCTTGCATAATTTAATACACTTTATGTGAAAATTCTTTAAAATTGAATTAATCTCTATAAAAGAATGTAGCTTTTAGAAGACTCTACATATTAAGTTGATTGCTTTAAAAAATTATTATTATCCGGAAAAGTAATGAGAATATGTACTTTTCCTTTCTGTGTTCTAATTAATATATTCGATACAATTAACATTAAAAATATTTATAATTTTTCGAGAGAAAATAAATAAAAATTATATAAATATTAAGGAAATACGGTACGAGTTAAAATTAAAAGAGATATTTTTCATAGTATAAATGTGCTAATTTTGATTTGAAAATTAGAAATTATTTAAACGTGCAATTTATGGAAGAAGACTTTGGAACTGCATTAAAGAAATCATTAAAACATGACTTTACTCTTATCTTTATTAGAAACGCAGGCACGAACTCACTTACTCTGCTAAAACGCCTGGGAAACATTAGGGTCGTACGTGGCAACGATTTGTTGCGTTATCAGAGGGTTATTTCCGCCGCGCATTTTCTGAGGTATATTCCCCAGGATAATACGGCTAAACCGCGCTAAATATGCGAAATAAATTTTTGCATATAGTTATGTATACTTTTTTAGATAAGAAAGGAACGATCTTTTCTTTTAATTTTGCGATATAAAAACTTGATGTTATCTTACGATTTTTTTTACAAACTAAAATGCCTCCTGCGAGACTAAATCAAGTGTAATGGGATATTATGTATGTAGGTTAGGCTAATCTGGACAAATCTCACTTCCTAATTTTATACTCGTTTCACAGCCGAGCTTCTAAGGAACACGTGTATTTTATAATTAATAAAGTTACGATGCTCGGGATTACTAATGATTATCGTTGCATCGAAGTTAAATTGGAATGCACCGGAGACTGTAATGGACCCCTTTGATGGAGGATGATATCTGGCACCTCGGGAGAGAGGCGAAATTAGCTGTTAATTTTCGTATAAAGTCATTAATGCAGTGTCATTAGGCGCATGTTGCGTACATCATGCGAGTGGCCGCAAATGAAGATGGACATGCATATAACGCGTCTGTCAAAATCACAATCGGACGAGCAATGATCTGTGTACTGTTCCTTTGGAAAAAATATTTTTCACTGTATAGAAACAAGAAATACGAATCACGCAAGATATTAAATAACTTACAATATTTTTATAATCTTGTTCCTTGTTATCGCGTGTCAGACGTTTAACAAGGAAGCAAATTGTGTGAATTAAAATGTGATTAGCCACGTTGAAAGCAAATTATCATGAAACGTATATACAACGATTAAAGAGAATGCTTAGAGAAAAGTGGAAACCGAAGTGCGAAAAACAGTTAGCCCGTAAGCAGCCGCGGGTGACTTCTTTCCTCTCGTGGTGTCGACCGCATTCCGGCAAACGCGTCGCGATGTGTAAGAATTAGAGATAGAAATAATTGCGACGAGAGATAGAAGGGAAGAAGATTTAACGCGGTCGCGATGGCGTCGCGGACGAGAAAACGATGGTGCGCGAGTGATGTTCTAGTGCGATTGACGCTGATTCTATCGGGTCTGTGCATCGGTCGTTGTGCGGATTTTGACACGACGACGATGACATCGATGACGTCCACGACAATGATGACGATGACGACGATGACGACACCGATGATGCCGACGACATCGCCGACGATGTTGGTATCAGTTGCTGGTGCGAAGGAATGCGTCGATAGTACACAGACAACGCAGTCCGAGCGCAAGGTTAAGCTAGCGGTGATCGCACCAGGTGATCCTCACCACGAACAGAGCTTGCCGAGGGTATTGCCAGCGGTGTTGCTAGCGGTGGAATACGTCAGTTCACCCAAGGGACCCTTACCCGGATGGATCATCAAGGTGGACCATCGCGACTCGCATTGTTCCAGCACTTATGGTCCCCTCGCCGCATTCGAGTTTTACATCAACCAGACAGCAGGTCACAACGCACGATGCGTTTTTCAAACTACTCTCTCCCTCTATTTTCCCATTTCCTTCGCCTTTGCTTCTTTTTGCTCTTGCTTCCTTTTATCTCTCCATCTCAACGTAATCGAGAGACCCGGCGTATACTCTACTGCGATATAAAGTTTTTTATATCCGACCGTAAAGTTTATGTGTTAAGTACTAAGTTACTTTGACTCAATTTTTTAAGTTTATCATTAAATTGCAATTGATTCGATGATGTGACACAAAGATCATGGTAATTTGAAATATTTGAAAAGATTGAAATAATACAAATAATATTTTAAATATGGAATTCTCGATTATGTTAAAAAAATATTTGAAATTAAATTTATTAATTTTTAAATATCGAGCTTTTTCCCCTCGATTCTAATTAATATAATATATTATTGAACACACAAAAATTTGAAACGCTTGCGCTTTTACTAATTGATATTTTATGAATCATATGTATGCTTGAGAACGCTAGATTTAAAAATGAAAATATGTAGATTAAAGTTTGATAATTAATCCTTAAATAGTCACATATGAATCATTTTTGATATTTTAATAATAGACCATTAATCGAAATAAAAGGGTTTTAATCAATAACAAAATGTTTAAAATTTTATTTTTTAATTTTTCTTGTACATAATCATTGTTTATAGAGATGTCAATGAATATATATAATTTTTTTTAGATTTTTTTAAAGTACTTTGAGATAGCTAAAACTGCGACAAGACTTTATGACCCATATGTGACTAGAGCAAACAAAAATATATGACCTATAATCGTTAATGGAATGTTAGTTGCGCTGACAAACAAGCACAGCACATGACGTAAATAAGGTATATAATATATCGCGTACAAAGTCGGGAGGCCCATATATCAAGAAAAGCGATCCGCAAAGTTGTTTGCATTCGTTGCACGCTTAGCTTGTCGCGGAACACTCAGGTCACCAGTCGCTAAATGCATTTGCTCAGGTGATTGCCTGATGATGTATAACGTGATTTTATATTGTTTATTGCCAGCACGTCGAACTTCTAAAATGTAAAATATACGATAAAGTTTATATTACAGCATCGCTAGCTGTTTAAATCTTCAATAAAGCCCTGCCGCTTCTTGACAGCCAACCGGCTGTTTGTCTCGAGAGCTGTTTGTTTCGCATTCGAAACTCGATTGTCGATATAAAGAACAAAAAAGTACAAGAGGAAAGAGACAGGAGAATGCGAAAAGCACTCTCGATTCGCAATACAGTTGAATTTTCAGAGAAAAAGTCGATAAGGCTTGCTCGCTCGCTGAGACTTGTGTCTCTACTTGTGCGTTTCAACAGTCATTTTTTTCTTTTCTCGAATTTGAAAAGCGGATTAAGACCGGCGTATGGAAGTATAATTAATCTATTTATCCACCGCTGATGAGATTCATAAATTTTCTTGCATTGAGAGCATCTCCGGATTTGTGTAACAAACGGATTTCTGTTTTATTATGCTTAAGTGGATTTTCATTTCACAGAAATGAATACAGTAAGATAAGACAAAATATAATATGAATACAATATATATATATGCAACTTTAATGCAAAAATTGGAAATTGGAAATGTATATCTGTTATCGACATTTGTTTATAGTAGCAAACTTCGAAAATATTATTATTATCATATACTCATGCATACATTGCTATACTCATTTCTATGGATTCTAAATATTTGAACATTTTAGATATTTCATTATGAATATCTAAAATGTTCAAATATTAATAATATTATCTCGATAAAAAAAGATTATGAAAAAAATTCCTCTTCTTCTTTCCCCTCTTGGATAGTAAAAAAATGAATCTATTCTATATAAAATACATCGAATATATATGAAACATGCACAGAATTACAGGGAATATGTTTTAAAAATATATATGGAAATATATGTGAAAAAATATATATGAAATTGTAAAATTTTTTTCCTCTATTGACTTTTTCTACCAATTTTTATAATAAGTATTTTTTTGTAAAGATTTAATTGAAAACAAGTTTTTTTATATACATTTATTCGTATTATTGTAAAACATTCGTTATGAATTGGTTGATATAAATTTGATGGCTTAAAGATGGAATGTGCGAACATTAATTAGATATGGTTGTGACGAGCGATCGCATCGTAGAGACGGCGCATCGACCCCGCGATATGAGATTCCAAGGATCGTGCCTTAAAGCTCGCATCATTAATTGTACCAATTAATCGGCGACAGTGTTTCTCTAAAGACTCGTACGCGGCATGTTTTTAATTGGACCGTCTATCGTCGTTAAAGTCGCGCGGCTGTCGTCTTAGCAGAAACGCGCCTATTTTTATGAGGGGCTGACGTCAGCTACTGCCCGCTACTGCCGTGTCAATTTGCAGCTGCAAACTGTCGAAGCTGATACGACGGGAACGAACGAACGAACGACGATGACGACGACGAATTGTCGGTCAGTCAACCAAAGCTGACTCGCCGCGTCTTTTTTCGTCGAGTTCCCGCTTCGCATTTATGCACATCCCAGAGTCTGTTAAATATCGCTTTAATTCGGCTTAATTAATCTCGTTCGTGCCGGTGGCTCGCTCTTCTCTTCGGATTAATTGACCTCGCGCCCCCGCTCCTAAGCGAATCATTTACTTTCTCAGGAGTGCGTGCAATCGTTCATGAAAAATGTCACGTCTTTGCAGGGCTCCATACCCTTTTTTCTATTATATATAATAACAGATATGTTTAACTCGAAAAATTGTTAATCGTTAATTCTTTTCATTGAAGATTATAAAAGAGATTATAAAAAAGATTATAAAAAATAAATCTCAATTAATCTGACGAAAAATTTTATCTATTGATGAGTTATCTTTGTTTCATGTGATTGCGTAAAATTGAAAAATAAAAATATTTCTTAATGCGATCATGTCGTGCGTCTGTTACGCTTGCGATTAATATATTATAAAGAAAGTGCACCGATCTTCTCTATAAAAAAAAATGATTCAAGAACGAAGCGAATCGTTGCAGTAAAATTTTCAAGTGTCGCGTAGCTAGTCGTCACGATAATTTCGGTGAACGATGCTTAGGAGAGTTCTGTAATTACTTTCGTAATGAAAATTTATTCAAAACGTTGAGAGCGTATTTTCCATCGATTCCGTTCGATACTCGATTGGTGGTTCATTACAGCTTCAATTCTGCCAGTGTGATATTTTTAGAATTAATTTAATGCAAGTTGAAGCCTTCTTTCTTTTGACTTCGGCACGAAATTGATAAAAATATTTATAGTTAACTTTTATTTTTTTTCCCTTTACTCTTTCTCTTCGTGAAATTACTAGGAAACTTTTCAAATTTCTCATAATATCGCATATCTATGACTCTCTCTTCGATTTCAGTTAAGAAACTTATTGAGAAATGAATTTGAGCATTAACTTTATTCACTGATAAAAGTTCAGAACTTGCTTGATTGGTGTAAATCTGTCATTACCAATCCACTTCAATTTGAATATAAATTTTTCTTCGCATTCGTGAGTATTCCTGTGTAAGAATTTTGAAACTGTAAAACATTTCAAAAAAGAAAAAGTAATTATCTCTCTTTTTACCACTTTCTTCAAGCTGCTTCTTAATAACCCGTGGACTATTTAAAATGTACAAAGTCGAAATGTTTATTCTTCTCCATTTTAATTCAATGTTTAATTACCAATATCATTAAAGTTGAATGTTAAATAGTTGTAACAAATAATAGCTTTCCCTACTAGACGATTTTTGTAATAAAAAGTTGACTTTTCAAATGCTCTCTTCTTAAAATTAAACGTTAAGCGTTTCTGCGACATTCTGTGAAAAACTAACAAAATAGTATTTAAGATATTTCTCTGACTATATATTACAATATATATAAAATAAATTAATATATAAAATATATAAAATAATATATAAAATAAATTTGGTATTTATTTTCATACCCATATGGATCATGCATTATAACATTATAATCTTATAATTTAATTTCTTACATTTATACGTGTGTATTATATAATATATATTTCTAAATGAGAACTTATAGAAATAAAATACGTAATTTTAATTTCTGAGTGAAACGCATCGTCGATTTTGAATCTCAAAATGTGTAATAGCTGCCAAGTTAACGGTTTTGTTATGAAGGAAAAAGATTAATTCCATCGAACAGACTTCTCAATTATGCTAGAGAATTTAATCTTTTAGCTTTTTCATCTTTTTTTAACAGTTACTTATTACGTTGAGCTTGAATTGTAAGTTTAAAGTCGTAAAAAAAGGAGTAAAAAAAGCGCGAATTTATTTATAAATTTGCCGCTTGATGACGCAAGTTTATAATGATACTTTGAAGATAGAAGGATAAAGATTTCTTTTCTTGAAAAAAAATTGCTCGTAGATTCAGTGTATATTAGGCTCTTGTATGATAATAATTTTTTTGCAAATAAATTTGTGTGCTCGTAATATTGGCATGCGATTACTATTCACGGCGCGTTGCAAATTTACGAGATTGTAAATAATGTAGATCGAATCGCGTGAATGCGCTGTAAAATGCATTATCCGCTTACTGCGAGAAGAAGATAATATATGATGATATGCTGATAAAATAGTCACTCACTTGTTGATCTCGTCAAATACTATTCCTGAATAATTGTTTGCATTTAATGCACTTTACAGCTTTTACATTCCGTTTGAAATTTTGTTCTCACAAGACCAAGGAACAGAGAGGTGTCTCATTTTCTATGCCGTGTTTGAAACGTGCGAGTAATTCGTCTCTATAGTGAATTCATGATGATTATTTATGATCTCTTTGTTGAAGTGATCTACGCGTTTCGAGACTCACCAAGAGAATTTTTATTTTCCTTGCACAAAGAAGATAACGTATTTGTGTGTGTTTGTAGATTCTGCATAAAGTATATGATAAAAGGTCGCATGCGAGCTGCGGTAAACGAATCTGCTTTCTTATGGCGTTTGCCGGAGCTTTCTCGCCTTTCCTCGCG